AGAGAGAGAGAGAGAGAGAGAGAGAGAGAGAGAGAGAGAGAGAGAGAGAGAGAGAGAGAGGTTCATCAGCTCACCATTCACATCGGCTCCTTCATCAGACTGCCGGTCGTCATTGAGCTCTTCCATCAGGTCAGCTCTCTCTCTCTCTCTCTTCTGTTGGTAGTGAGATGTGTCAATGGTGAATGGAGATGGCGGGGGGGTTGCCAATTGTTGAACGGAGTGCGGAGGCCATGGGGTGGTACGACGGCACAGAGGGATATAGAGAGTGTAGGAGGAGGATGACCATCACAACGAAGTGGGAGGTTGATGGCACGGAGCGATATGGAGAGTGTAGGAGGAGGATGACCATCACAACGAAGTGGGAGGTTTATGACGAGGAATGCTCTCTCTCTCTCTCTCTCTCTCTCTTTTAGTTCCATGCTTACTGTTCATTATGCTTCATCATTGAGCTTTTCATTCGTTTACAAACTTTTCAATCTATAATGAATTTTTGTAATAGGTTCCAAATAAGGGATAGGGAGGTTTGGAACATGGAGGAGGGGAGGGTTGTTCCAAAGAAGGGGTTTGTGAACTTTAATTGTATTCCCTCACTCTTCTTCCAAATCTCCCTCACCGCCAATTGTTTCGAGCCTCCCCCGTTCGGTGCTTCTTTTCATTTCGCTGGTTTGTCGTGGAACTTTTCATTGTGTTATGAATCTAGAATTGTGGATCATTTTGATTGTTCTCAAACTTCTTATTCTTTTGCGAAGCTCCGATACGTTCCCTTGGCGGGAAAGGAAGCTTTGGAACACGGAGGGGAAGGGAGGTTCGGAACAAGGGGGAGGGAGGCTCGGAACCAGAGGGAGGGAGGCTGGAAAGAAGGGGGACAGAGGTTTGGAACAGGGGGAGATCTGCTGATTTTTTTTTGTTTCAATCTGAACCGATCTGGATACAACCATCCATCTAGACCATCTGGACCAATCAGGACCATATCTGGACGGGCCGGACCGGTCCGGAAATGCAGACGTTTGGAGAATATCCTGAGTGACCGGTTGACTGGGTCCAGATGGGCCCGGTGTCTGGGTCTGCGGTAGCCACGGCGGGAATGAAGTCCTTTTGGACGTTCATTTGAAATTTTTAGCATTATGAAGTTTCAATTGACAGGAGAGAACTGAGAGTATGATCTCCCAACGGGCATTACAGCCCTCAGCAAAACATGGCAGTAGGAACTAAGAAAAAAGAAAAAAAGGAAGAAAAAGCAACAACTCTTTGGACGTGAAAGCAGCTGGATACAGAACATTGGGTACATATGAGAATCGACCCTCCCAACGGGCGTTTCGGCCTTTAGCAAAACATGGCAGTAGGGAAAGAAAAAAGAAAAACCTGAACGTGGATTGCCTGGGGATGATCAGTTGGACAATGATGGTATTTCAAGGCCGTCGCCCTTTCGAGAAAAGAAAAAAAGAAAAAAAGAAAAAAAGAAAAAAAGAATAAAACGGGGTGCAGAAACAGCCTGCCTAGTCTTGCTGTGTCCCAAACTAGGACTGTTAGAATGAACCTGGGCAGAATGTTGAGGTGCAGAATCTGCAGATCATGCATTTTCACTCGCGTATGTTGCATTCTCAGTGGGAATAGTTTTGAAAGCTGTAGAACTGAGCAGACTCTCTCAGCACATCTAGCCCATTTAGAACCTATCCCTTCCCCTTCCTCAGGCCGCCCCCCCCGCCCAACCCACCCAAAAAACAAAAACAAAACAAAAAAAAACTGCTCAAGCATGTGCTCGTCCAGGGCCACTGCCTTGTGATATCATGATTGAACTGACTGGGCCCAGGTCCTTGAGAATTATGTTATTCTGCTCATCTGACTGCATTTGGAATTCGAACTTGGTTCTGTACTTAAACAGTTCATGCGGGTAACAACCGAGCTAGGCGCGTCAGTATGCCTATCCACTTCGACTTCGTCATAATTAGTGGAATGTGGATGTCCCAATGTTAAAGATGCATTTTGACAGGAGCAGCTGTGCAGTCTAACTATGTACAAGCATACATGCAATTAATGCCAATTATACAATTATCTAATTTCTTGCCTACTTTTTCTTGCGGTTCTCTTGTCTGACGTTTTCTCTTAAACCAACTGTCCATTGTAAGCTAAATTGACGGAACCAAAAAATGCACTTTGCCGAGCCTCAAAGTGACCAGTACCGGCCTCTGGAAAAATATAGGTGGTACGGGTACTGACTTTCGTACAAATGAAATGTCTGGACCCTTGGCCACCAGGTGGAAGGAAAAACAGGCCTTTTTCTATGTTTTCACTTACATTGTAGTTTCCCGCCTACACTACTACTACACCTACTACTACTGGTGCTACTGCTACTGCTAGTGCCGCTACTGCTACTGCTGCTACTGCTGCTACTGCTGCTACTGCTGCTACTGCTGCTACTGCTGCTACTGCTACTGCTGCTATTGCTGCTACTGCTACTACTGCTGTTGGTGCTGCTACTCCTGCTACTGCTGCAACTATTCCTACTACTACTGCTGCTACGCCTTCTACTACTGCTACTCCTACCACTGCTGCTGCTACTACTACTACTGCCACTCCTGCTGCTACTACTACTACTACTACTACTACTACTACTACTACTACTACTACTACTACTGTCATCACCCAAGTAGAACCGGCGGTCATTATGGTTACGTCTGGACTGAACCTTGCCCCACATACAGCTGAAATGACCCAGCTCTATTTAGGCGAATACAGCACGTTTTTTTCATTCTTTTTACACGTCATAAGTTGTGTGTCGTTTGTGTGTTGTCATGTTCAGAATACACAGCTCCACAAAAACAAGCATGATTTTGCCAGACTGTTTCATCGGACATTCACCAACTTATTTGTGTGTGTGTTGTCATGTTCACTAGACACAATTCCAGTGCGTGTGTGCGCTAGAGAGAGGGCAGGGTGCACAGCACCGCGCCACACGGACACACGTCTCTGAGACACACACACACACACACACACACACACACACACACACACACAGAGAGAGAGAGAGAGAGAGAGAGAGAGAGAGAGAGAGAGAGAGAGAGAGAGAGAGAG